GGCGGGGATTTGTATTTTTTAAAGCATTAGTTTTGCAGATAATTAATTTTTGAAAAGATTAGTTAATAACATGACGTTAGATGACATGAATACCTTTTGCCTTCTGTTCTGTGGAACAAGGTCATTAGTAGAGACATTTTGGAGAGTAGATGACAATTATCTATATTAGGCCAATATTTTTATATTGATTAAATGCAGTGTAATAGTAGCTGAATTCAAATCTAATTCCTATACATATGGCTTAAATCCAATTTTCAAATAAAACAAATTAAATGACATATTGAATTTATGATACCAAATATACTGTAATTAAGTAGTTAGATCTACATGAACTAATAAATGAGTCGATTTCAAGATGGAAGTTTAAGTCTTTATTTCTTTTATACCAAATTAAATGCATGCTTAAGATAAAATGCCAGGCAAAAACTTCTTCAAGTTCATACAAAATATGAGGTCAATATTCAAATTGTAAACTGTAAATTATCGGATCTTTATTATTATGAAATTCATCGCAAACACTTGTTTAAAGGTAAGATAGTATCGTTTCTATAGTGGCTTTTCAACAAACTAATTCGTAAAGAAAAAACACATGATTTTTTTGTTTTCTTTTAAACAAAGGGTTTTATATTCATCGCAATAACTGCTTTAAAAATATGAAAGAGAATATGTCTCTTATATCTCTTCTAACTATTTTTTCCCGTAAAGAAATATCACGTGAAGCTATTGTTTCTTCTGAATATGACACGTAATGACAAATACATTGGTTTACTAATTACACTACTTGCAAAAACACATTCACATTTATGTCCTGAAATCAGAGTAGATGGTTAGTCTGGGAAACTTGATAGCAAATGTAAAAAAAAAGCAAAAGATACCAAAGTGACATTCAAACTCATTAGTTGAAAATAAACTGACAACGCCATGGCTAAAGGAGAAAATGACAGACAGACAAGCAAGTACACAAAACACAGCATAGAAAAATAAAGACTGAGCAACAATAACCCCACAAAAACTGGGGTTGATCTCAGGTGCTCCGGAAGAGTAAGCATATTCTTGCTCCACATGTGGCGCCTGTCGTGTTGCTCATTTTAATACCAACTCGGTATTATGTATAATTCGGTATATCACTTTCATGGAAAAGGAGTCGGGACTGTGGTCACGACAATTGGAACATATCCATCGTCATCTGTGAAACAGATATTCCATAACGGTCAAGCAACTCGTGATGGCGTAAAATAAAGGCAAAATATCCAATGGATACCAACTGATGATAGAATTAAGGTAAACCCAGAAAAGTGTATCGAAATTTATAAAGTGTTATTTCATTTTCCATCTGGTGTCATGTTTTGATGTATTGAATCACTTGTTTTGTTATATTTATACAGTGTATGTGTACGATGTATGACAGGAATTGATGTTAATTAAGTATAACATATCTGTAATTAAGATCGACTAAGTAGAAGAAGTATTTATTATGCATTGTTAAGAAAAGCTATGCAATACTAACTGATATAAGTTTTTCATTATTTCTTTTGAATGGAATTTGATATGTTAGACTAAATCTTTATACAATTCTTCATTACACATTGGATGATTTCATTTGCAAATGGCATGGACATTTCCTATTTAATAGAAAAACAAAGAATATGGGGTGTCCATCAATGACACAAAATCAGTAGCAACAAAAATCACAAAAAGCAAAGGAATAGCACTTTTATTGCTGTTCTTCATCTAAAAGTCACAATGAGGCCTTCAAAACGAAGCATTCTTCTTTATGCTTCTTTATTTTTCAACATGGTTAAATATGACTTTGGAGACCCTTGTCCAAATCTGTATTGCATGATATTTTAAGACTTTTGCGATTTGTTTTTGGCAATATTGTGAATGTTATAGGACCATTTTGAAATTCGAGCATACAGTCAGTTGTGTGATACAATCTCCGGGATATTCTAAACCTATATTTTCAAATTATTTTACTCCTCAATAGACAAGTTTTCATAAAATATGAATAGTGCAACATACATGTGTTTGTTTATTCTACTTTGGCTAGAGGTTTAGGGGGAGGGTTGAGATCTCACAAAACATGTTTAACCCCGCCTGTCAAAAGTCTGGCCTTTGTTAGTCTCGTATGTTTTTTTTTTAATTTTAGTTCATTTATAAGTTTAACAATAAATTTCAAATTGTTTACATTTTCGAGTTATTCATGTTGTTAGAATGAGTGAATAATGTATACTGCATAAGTAGAAATCGAGGAAAAATACATGCCAGAATCGACTAAGATAATTGAATCTGAGGTTAAATTTTAGGATTTTCATTCTCCAATTTATAGCCAGACATTTATATATCATTCCGGGCAAACTATTATAGTTAGTTATCGTGTAATAAGAATCATTTCTAGAAATGTAAAATAACTTCAAGGGATTTCAATTTAATTGGCTGTAAATGAAAAGTGTAATTAAGATTTACCGCATTTTAAAGTATAATCTTAGTTTTAAAAAAAACCCAGATGTGTTAACAAGAACCGAGCACTCCTTCTAAAATACATCTTTATATACAAGTTATTTTTGGTATTTGTTTATTTATTTTCTCATGTTCTCGGTCTTGAATACACATTTTGACCATTGTATATATTTTTTGAATTTTTAGTCGATCTTTAGTTTAATGGATGTAGTAAATATGTTGTATATAGATTGATTGTTGATTAACTTTAAGGAAACAAAGCCAACCGATTGAAAATTTTCACACCAGAAATTCTAGGGGCGGTATGATGAACTGCAAAATCGTCACAGTGTTCAGCTTTTCATCTCACTGGTCGCATTTTGACTTTGTTATAGATGTTTTAAGTTCAATAGTGTTAATCCATTTTGTTCGGCTCTTGCCATGTTCACAACCAAGAGTTCCAAGTAGTGAAGTTAAAATCATCCCTTCGAACATGTTACGGCGGATATGTTCCAATTGTCGTAAACACAATCCCGTCTACTTTTCCCCGAATTTGATCTCCGAATTAGATTTATCACTGGGTTTGAACTCACTTTTCGCTTCTCTTTCATAACTTTGACACTTACTACTGAATGTCACGTTGGAATTGTGGGATGTAGTATGCTTGCATCGTAGTAGATTTGTAACCGTGAAGACTACAATTTCTTGTGCAAATGATTTATAACTAAAAATGGCACTTGAAGGTTAATAACGACACTTAATGTTTAATACTATCTCTAGAGAAGGAAACATTAGAGTAACACTTCATGATACAATTTTGTTTAGATTTCAAGAACTGAAGCAAAAAAGGCGAAGAAGATATCTAGAATGCATTAAAAAATATAAACATAAGACAAAATAGACATTGCAAAACAGTGAACATACATCAAAAGCTCTGGATTTATCGATGTATCTTATCTTATCCGAAGACAACAACACATTCATAATACATCAGTTAGTTTACATTGTATGCCGTAATATTTGACAAAATGGGAAAATTTGGAAAAATGGGGAGAAGAACCCAAGGGGCAATACAAAATCAGAAGTGGCGAAGAAAAACAGAAAAACACATTGGTCAAAGGAAAATTGAAAAAAGACAAAGAACAGTCCAAGAAGAAACACTACACTAGAAACAAAGGGTTGAACCCGGCTAACATAAACGGATGTGGAAGCAGATCCGGAAGTCAGCAATCATTATTCTACTGTTGTCGTCCCCGTTTTTCTTGTTTCAATCAACTGATGACAAAATAGCCGGCAATAAAGCATCACTTTATTTTGAATCGTTTTTTTTTTCCGATAAGAATAGAAAAGACCTTCATCTTAAGAGCATCACAGAAATTGAAAATGATGATTAACAAACAGGGACTCTTCACTGGAATGCTTGACTAATGAAGAACATTGTTAACAGCAGAGGTTCAATTTTTTGTTTTGTTTAAAAACAAATTGAAAATATTCCGTTTTAAATAGACAATTACATTAAACAGATAAAATGACACCCACGTGTATAACCAAGAAAATGTTTGATGGATAAGCTGTATTTACGAGATAGGAAACAGAATAAATTTATTGACAAGTAAAACAAACAATTTAGCATTCAAACATTTTACAAAGTGCTATGGAAGTTTTGCGTTCATACGTCAGGACACATTCATCACCAATATTCAATAATTACGTAACAATCTGGCTGAATTTTTTTCGTTATACAGAAAAAGGAAAACAAGAATTACCAAAAATATTGAACAGTACAATAGACCACACCACCCAACAACACTCCGACTGCGTCGAAAATGGATATAGAAACAACGACAAACAACATAAAAAACATGGTTAAACAGCCCGACTGTATACTAGTAAGCACAAACATGGTGGGGTTAAAGAAAACATTAAAGATACCAGGCTCATAGCCCGACAGACATGCGTTTCGTCTACCCAATAATAAGAACCTGCACAGTCCAACCACCAATAGGACTTCAAATAATAATAAACAGGAAACAATTTGAAAATGTCGAAGAATAAAAATGAAATCGTTCTACAGGAAGCTAGCAACTGTAGACTCAATTGTTTGTGATGTACTTCACGCAAGAAAACCAAAAAAATCAGAAACAACGCTGCAAATAGGTTTCATGAAGTCGCTACATAAAACTCAATTGCAATTTGGAATATTTGTGAGAGACTAGTAGTTTTTTAACAATCCACCCCTGTATGTAGTAAATTGCCCATAGTCTGTAGAAATTTAATAATAATTCAAATGCAGTGTAAAATTACCCCGATTAAAATTTAATTCCCATACATTCAAATATCAAATAAACAAAATATATGCCTTATTATATTTATGCTACCAAAATACTATTATACAGTAGTTAATGTCATATTACAATAAACAATTAAGAAAATAAAATAACTAAAATTGATTCATAAGTGCAGACTACTAAGTCTTTATTATTGATACATCAAATTTTAATTCATGCCAAATAAAATAGTCATATATATAATACAATAAGTGCGTACAAAAAGTTACTTACCTATGAAGCCAATATTCAAATTGATGACAATAATTAATTGGATCTCAAATATTATGAAACTCATGGCAAACACTTTTTAAATGTAAGATATCGTCTCTGTAGTCGCCTTATAACAAATTAATTCGTAAAGAAAAATCGCAATAATCAATTATTTCTTTTAAACTTGACAGCTTATAGTAAATAAGTTATTTTACTTATTACACAACATGTATAAATACTTATTCCAAGATGTCGTTAAATGAAATTGGATACCCTGCATTTATCATGCTTTTCAATAACATATGGTCAAATCGCTGAAAGACCCCCGCCTAAATTAATGAAAACTATCATTCTGCATTGACAACAATATCTTGGTGTAAATAAAATACGCCCTCAAGGTGTATCTAATTCATAAACATTTCTTTCATTTGTGCGTTTAAAAAACTGTATCAAATGTAAATATTTCATTTATGAGTTCTTAGTATAAGTATTTCACAAGTAGTTGATAAATCTCGAGATATGATAACCATACATTCCTGAAAACCCCCTATTGTTATATATTAAAGTGTTGACTCACTTGACGCGTAATGATTTCATTACAACACAAATTCTATTGTACAAATTTGACATAATCATTTTACTTAACTAGACATACTGAATTACTGATTGAGTAACATAACTAGTTCATTCGAATCTATATTCAGTCAAGATGTCAAAATCGAGATCGAGAATAAGACACGTGCGGTAAGTTTACAGTTGTATTCTGGTAGCTAAAGATATATAAGACTTTTTAAACATGTCACTAGAGAGCTGAGACACAGAAACACAGTATCGATCATTTTATTCGTCATAAAACTTGTGGAGTGTCGATGTCAGCCGTTTTTCCTCATAACCATAGTAAGGCAATTTTAGCATCAAGAGCATACCCCAGTTAGTAAATCGGTTAGATAGTCTATATCATTGTGTTTCATTCATCAATCAATATAACAATGTTGAGGTTCAATTTGCAGTTCCTCTGTTGAACGAATGGTAATGAACTCACAATTCATCACGGATTGTCAACATATATTAAACGTCTCTACGTGAACCAGTTAGCTGTATCACCCTTCATCATAATGTAAAATAGTGAAAGTTATCAAAGGCAGCTGTTTCTAGTATTTTAAAAGGGGCATTAGCCGTCAAATTCATGTTCACTGATTTGACTAAAATTCTCATATTTGATTTATAAAAATATTTAAACGTATATCTAAATTACAAAATTTCGAAAATAAACAACTAACAATACATGGACTCGATAATATGTATCAGTATTTCCTGTGTGTTATGGTCTAGACGCCATCTAATTAACCATCGTGATAGCCTCCGAAGACTGCAGATGGTCATATTACTCAAAATAAACATGAATATAAATATAAACAAAAAGCGACCACATGCAATTGGAATTTTCTAGGTCTATTTGCTTTCATGTAATATGCTAAAACATATGCTTATCATCGTTTTTATCTGTATAAGAATGATTTTTTTTAGATCGAAAAAGTCAACGAAATGGTTCACCCCTGTTTCACTTCCAATGTTAACATATATTTCTATTTAATAGATGAGCACGCCTAGTACATGCGTAATCCATCTCAAGGTAAGGAATTAAATAGAAGGTCACATGAATACGGATTCAATTGATGTTGAATTATTCGCCTGCAAGTTAATAATACAACAGCTTATTTTGACAAATTTAGGCCAAACTGACTGCTTATAAAGAAATATTATTTCAAAATTCCGCTTTCATTAATACTTGAAACAAAAAGAATCGTATTTTAATTTTTGGTCTAAACCGAAGCTAATGTCTCTTTAATGTAGTCTTATAAAAACATAAATCTTGATATATACATTCTCTACATCGTACAGTTAAACCGCAAATACATCTGGTGATACAGTAAGTTATGTTCCGCTTTGTATGTGACACTGGTTATAGAATAGATACTTAAATTAAAGTGGCTAAAAATCCCAAACACTCTGTACTTGTTTCCATAGAAATTTAATTTGAGAATATAATACCATGAAGTATAGTAAATGAAACTTCCTGTTTTAATGAAAGATTATGCATATTTGACAACGAGACTGTTTTTTCTCAAAATATATTTATTACAAGCTTAAAATAGGTAATAAGACAGACGAACAACTTTCATGTAACAATTTCGATGGCGCAATGTCAGTCATACGCAGTTCCAGTGATGAATGAAATCATTAAGACTTTTAACATGTATGATAGCAGAAAGTTAATGATATTGAGTTATATCATAGAACGTCTCGTCCTTTTTCTAAAAAAAAGTTCATCGGAAGATATCAATACGTTGTAGATAAATATTCCGTATCAACTTCAAAAATAATACATGACGGTCTTGAAGTATAGATTCTAGGTACTGGCGTTGTTTATCATCTTAATAACGTGTTATAGTTTTCTGTTATTTGTCTTTGTTTAATAATAACCTTTACTGTTTAGTTTGTTTTTGTTAATATCCTTTTGGCGTGACTCGGTATTTATACATCCCGCCATTGTGTTATTGTGCAGTGGTCATTTTTTTGTATTCTTGTCTTTCATTTTTTCTTATGTGCTTTGTCTATATGCCATTTTGTTTTTCTTTGTTGACATAGTTATTTCTTTTTATAGAGATTAAGAGTATAACACAATGTTGACTGCTGTACCCCAATTTTTGACATTTTTACCTATCATCATGATTATGTCTGTTTGTTTTGTTCACACATTGTTGTCAATATAATGGAATTGTATTCCAGTGTCATACAACATGTGAGCGCTTTAGCTAGCTATAAAACAAGGTTTAATCTCCACTATTTACTACGTAAGGAAATGCCTGTACCAAGTTAGGGATATGACAGTTGTTTTCTATTCGTTTGATGTGTTTGAGCTTTTAATGTTGCCATTTGATAAGCATCTTTCCGTTTTGGGTTTTCTCTGGAGTTCAGTATTTTTGCTATTTTAGGTTTTCGTTGATGTTTATTCTATTTCAAATACATAATTTTATATAATGTGATATTCCGGGGTTTTCTACTGCTTTTCCGGCGTTACTTATAAGGGCCTCGAATGAAGTAAATAATGATAACATCATAATAGACATTTGCGGAAACTACGTCTTTACCTAGGATTACACTTAGACTTACGATTACAGTTGACGAAAAACAAGGGGTCATCTCCAAATTAAAAAAAAAACAACAACAATAGAGATAGCTAGTAAAACCAAATGATTGATTTTTGTTATGTAAGTAAAACGTTTCCACGACTCACTAATGCAGCTCAAATGGTCACAACAGATTTGAATCGCTGTATTGGATATGTCACAAAAAAATCCCCATAACTTTGTATTTTTTTTGTAATTCTCCGATGGCGCTTATAGTGTGTAATAAGTCTATTTGATTTTTTAGACTTCGTCTACATATCCTGGGGTTTTCGAACAATCTGTTGTCTTGTATAAGGTTTATAATCTTTTTGTTATAGTTCCAAAATTGTGTCTTACCTTATTTTAGTACAGCAAAATCAGCAAAAATTCGTTCAGAGGGTACTCTACAAACGGTGCACTTGAAAATCAGGGAATATGCGATAAGCAAGTAACGCACTATAATTATTAAGCAATGCTTTTGAAATATCAATGTCCTTCGTTTTCACGATTCCATTTTGTATCCGAAACTGCTCCCTAACCGTCTTAAATAGTTTACGATTTTTTTAAACAATTTCTTCTCGGCTGATATACCTTTGCACATTTTATCCCTGTTAATCAACGAAATAATTATGAGCGTCATAAGTGCACTCTAGAGTACAGTTGTACCGGTCTCAGATCAATAGTTACTGCTCATGCTTCGATCAGACCAGACCCATGTTTATTGGAGAGAAATTATTATAGACACCGTGAAAAACCGTCTATACTCAAATGATTCCGAAGATCTCTATACAATCTATACAAATTGCACAAAAATAAACAACTCAGAACCCGGTAGTCATTTTTACATGCGTCGTTGAAGGCGAAAGCCGTTCTAGTAACCGCTCGACTTAAGTCTAGACCCGGTTTTGGTTTTGCTTGATTTGAGAAGATAGATAGTAAAATTCCAACTTCTTGATTACACCTATTTTGCATTTCAACGAGTATGACGAATAGTTTAAATTACATATTCGATACAAAGATGTTTATTGATAAGGATGTTGTGTTTTTTTCGTATATTTTTGATTTTTTTATACGAAAACGTGGACAAATGTGATTGCCCAAATATATGGAAACTATATGTCTAAGCATAAACATTAGATATTGTCAACATGCTTCTTAGTTGGTTTTTTTCTTTACACTAAGTCTTGTTGAAATTGATTTATAATTGTCACAACCTAGCCAACGACAATACAGTTTTTTTTTTGTGTGTCTCATGTAAAACTTATTAAGTAATGTTTGTCCATTCTATCATACTCCGTACATGAACACGATGTTCAATAGTTAATGTGTACATATTACTTCATATATTTTTTAAAATCCATTTTGTTCAACTATAGAAAAACATCATGATAGGAGTTAGAATTTGTTTTGGAACGACGGTTCATATAAACGCTTTGATACAACCCAAGATTTGAATGCTACCTGAAAGTGTAATTGTAATCCTAATCGTAGGTGTATGACAGTTTCCGCAAATGTCTTACAGTAGTTCATATACTTTACACCCCAGTTCTATTGTTATACTTCATAGTTTCTATTTCTGAAACAAGTTTAGAACATACTCACCCCTTCTCGTCCAATGGAAAGTCAGTTTTTCCCTTCTAATTTTCATAGTACATGGCGTTCCAAGCACTATAAAATGCTTTACATGAATGACTTTTCATTGTAGATTAATTAGGAAAGGGAACTCTTGATAACTAAGCTAACGAAGTGTACAATCCCCTGAGGCATTTTCCTTGAGAAAATAGCCTACTGGTTAAAGATGAAAAAGAATAGAATTATAAAAAAACATTCTGAATTTTGCAAATGTTTATCATGGTGCATATATATAACAAACAAACAATGAAATGAGGGCAAAGATGTAGGTAAAATAATCTTTTAAGAAAACAATGTCAGACTGCTGATATATAAAGCAAAGGATTTTTTTCGAAAAAAAAACCCACAATACATGTACATTCATCAATAAAAAGTAAGCATCTGATGTTGAATGGTTGTAATTCAAATATTTATAGAGTGAATTTTATAATTATCAAAAAATATACAAATTTCAAAAAGCTGATTTATATAACATTGTGTGCTTTTTAAAATCAAGAAGTTTAAGGTATATTAGTATTAAATTTTACCTGAAGCAGAAGAAAAACTCAATGTTTGAACAATTTATCCTTTTTGTCGTCACTAAACTATGTTAGTGCTATTTCATTCCATCCATTGAAATGATCATTACCTATGGTATACATTCCTTTTGTTAACCTAGTTAACACTTCATTATAAAAAAGTGAATTCTTATCAAGGTTTGAATATTACAATAGGAAAGGATAATTTTGTAAGGGTACTCGAAAGTGTGAATATGTTCTTAATTGGTCAGACAATACTTGGTCATGTTTTATGAACATTTAAAACCCTCGGCTACCCCTTGGGCTTTAAATCTTCATAAAACATGACCAAGTATTGTCTAACCTTTACGTAAATTGAATAGATCTATTGTTACGAATAACAATGGATTTTGACCACAGGGTGTGACGAGCGGAGTTTCTGGGAACCCCTGCTTCTACATCCAGAAAACACAGTCCATTGTTATTCATAACAAAAGAAATTGAATATTTTTTAAATAGCATGAACATAAGAAATAACTAATAGTGTTCACTACAAGTTGTTACAAGATATTAAAAAAACACATTTTAGGAAATTCCTATAGCGAAAAAAATATTAAGCATCTATTTTGAATAAAAAAAAATCCTTTAAATATACCTTTGCTTGAAGGTAAAATTTTTGATCCCAGTCATATGTCTCTATTCTAAAGCATTGATCTTTAAAAAAAAACAGGATTCTAACTCACGGACCCCCCCCCCCCCCCCCTGGATTGCCCCCAAAAAGGGATTTCCGAAATAGTCAATCTGTATTTTTGTATGTTAGGCGTGTCATGGTCGTCGGGTTTCTAATCCAGACACACCTATCCCTCAGTATGTCCGAATATGAATGTTTGTTTAATCTTGAGAAGAGAGGGTTTTTTTTTTTTATAAAAACGTTACATACAAAATACATTTATGATTACCTTCATTAAACTGATGCAGATAAGTACTTTGGATTATAATATTGCCTTAATCTTTAGTCTCTTCTACCAATTCCAACGCTTGACTCAAAATGTCGTCCGTCTTATACCCGTCCATATTGACAACTGCATGATGTATGTTTTTGTAATAAGAATGCACGAAACGATCAACCTTGACCTGCTGATCCATATTAGCACATGGATTTAACGGGAATATGCAAAACAGCAAATTTGACATTTGTAAAATCTACTCACTTGTCAATTTTTGAACGAAGATAGCCAAAGTAAGGTTACTAGTGGGGTTTCATGTAAAAAAAATCTTATAAATCATGGTTTGATATTGTCAATAAATATGCTATCCGTTCATTTTCATTTAATAATCAATGTTAACAAATATACGGTTTAGAATCGGGTGTGAGTTAGTTATACACCTCGGGATACGGCGTGTCTGGATAAGAAACCCCTCCGGTCTCCGGCCGTCGGGGTTTCTTATTCAGACACACCTATCCCTCGGTGTATAACTATTACGTATCACTTGTTAATTGAGTAGTCATCAATAAAAAGTACAGTGGTTCGTAAAACCTATCAATAGCATAATACATTATATACAGTACAGCTATGGGTGCAATTTTCCCAGCAATATTAAGAATAGTTTTTAATAGCAATCGATGCAGAATAAATCTACTGAGTGATTTGAGACTATTTATAATCATTTTGGTGCAGATTAGCTGACCGCCTGAATAATAGACTGATGAATAAATATATCAATACTTTATCCCAATTGTAATGCTCTTTCACCAATTTATTTCACTTGGTGCAGCAAATTATGATGTATATTAACTACTAACCGTAAGGAGACTCTTGTCCGGTAATGAACCAGTATACGATTGACAAAGGGAAGTAATTTGTTTAAAAAGTGTGTAATAACAGAATCAAATCGGTAATTGGCAAATGAACTATTACGGTCAACCAACTTATGGTGATGTCAGTAAAATTTTCGAAGGGATGGTTTCAACTTCAACACTTATAACTATTGTTTAAATATCTTTCGTGTAAGCAGCAACCCTCTATCAAGGAAGTCGTTATTAGAAATGCAAGCAATGCAAAGTTGATTTCGTATTAAATGGGAGATATATAGTCCAGGAGATATATAACCTTTAACTACTAATTTCATTTTGTCTTTGGTAGAAGGTAGGCAATCATTTCACATCTTCGTATTTGTATATGTATGTACATGAGACTGTCATCATGCAAATACAACTCTTACTATTCTTTATCTCATTCAATGAGCATCTGTGTGTTTATTCCTATTTGATTTACTAGTCATTTGTGTACAAATTTTTTTACGATTATTGATTATCTTATCAAATTTAAATTATCTACTAATTTATATTAGCTATGGAAATTTAATCACTATAAAAAGTTTATGCAACGTTCGTGTTGAAGAATATAACAGACACATAACAGTGTTATTCATTTGCTCGATTTTAATATCATTTTACTACAAATGGTGATTTCAAAACTCTTATATTTATTATCATTATCATATCGTAAACATCAGTAAGACTTTTACATTTTTTTATATCAAAGGAAATGAAAACAACATTGCAGGAAATTACCTTTCTAATTTAGAAATGTTATGTTAATATTTTTTTTGTTTCTTTAAAGATGGACAGGTTTAGTTCGCATACAAATTCTCTCAGAAAAGAACAGCTTGTATCATACAACAAATTGGCAGTCCCATTTGTGAACTTAAGACGACTACACCATCTGTCGGGAAAACTCGCTCCAATACGGATATCTTCAGGTCCTAGGCCATATATGTTCTGAAAGGACTGTCCTGTTGTCCATGTACCATTGATCAAGCCGATCCAAAAAAACTGCGACGGTGAACCTAAATAAACCATTGTGATTGAAGATTTAAAAAGGACAAGACCTTCCATCATGTAAAATTTATAGATTTGGCGAAATAAATATGTAAGCATAATTAGTACATGGTCTTCTTATTAGTTGACTTGGGTCCAGTAACTGCGAGTATTCTTTAGTTTGTACTTTGTGTCTTTTTTTTATTATTTTAGTAGGGTTTCTGTGCTTAGTAACGATCTGATGATTCTAGCCCTTTTTCAACATAGCTTTACAGTTTGTTCTGTTTTTGTACTTTTAACACCACTGTCCCAATTTAGTGTGATGGTTGAGCGCTCACAAACATGTTAAACACCGCCATATTCTGAATGTACCTGTCCCAAACCAGGAGCATGTTATCCAGTGATTGTTGTTGGTTGTTGTCTGTTTAATTTTCGTTTTTTTTTTTTTTTAGTTTTTTTTTTTTTTTTTTTTTTTTTTTTTTTGCATTGATCAAGTCTCAGAATCGTTTAAAATTTTTTCATCTCGATGCCTTTTATAGCTTGCAAAACGGTATGGGTTTTTCTTATTGTTGAAGGTAAACTTACAATTAGTTAAACTTGAATTGAAAAAAGCCATTTTTTCTACTGTCTGTACAGTAACAAGGTCTCCGCCTTCTTCATTACACTGTTGTCTTGCATCATACCAATTTCGTTGTGTTGAATTAAACTTAAAGCATGTACTGGAAGTAACATCATAATCATATCCCTGAAGATCACAGTCTGAAAAATATTTGTATTTAAAACAAGTAAGAAGATGTGATATGATTGTAAATACGACAACTCTTCACCAGAGACCAAGTGACGTAGAAGTTAACAACTATAGGTCTCTATACGGCTTTCAATAATTAGCAAAAACCATACCGCATAGTAAGCTTTAAAAGGCCCTGAAATGACAAATGTATGACAACTCAAACGAGAAAAAAACTAACGGGCTGATTTATGTACAAAACAATAAACAAAATAAAATTGATATACAGCAACAAACGACAACCACTGAATTACAGGGTCCTGGCTTGGGACTGGCACATACAGAATGTTGCCGGGTTAAACATGTTCTCTGGGACATGTTGTAACAGTACAGCATCAGAACAAACTATAAAAATCAATTGAAAAGGATAATTTCATCAGATTGATTCAAAAAGCGAAAAAAACACGAAAAAAACAAAAAAAGAAACAAACTACAGACCTGATAGTACTTGTCAGCTAGTTCAAAGCCAATAACAACTAATAACAATCACGCATCTAAAACTAAATTTCCAATCAGTACACATCTAACACCCATGGATTAAGTGTAAATTTAAGACGTTGTTAACAATCAGAGATTAACTTTTCCCAATGCGATGCAATAATATATGTATCGACAGAGTGTAGGATCGTGAACGTACATATATGTATAACAATAATATTTAGTTTGGTTTTAATTTAATGATAACAAATCAATATGTATACCGATAAAAACAACATTCAAAAATCGAATTACAGGGTTGAATTGGTAACCTTATAGAATAAGTTTATTTAAAGGATCGATAACTCTACTTATCGTTGTTCCCACTGTCTGTATCACCTTGCTCAGCCCTTCAAGGCATATTACGGCTTCGTGACGTCAAATACATTAAGCCGGCCTTAATGACTTTGACCCGAATATACCACCGACGTCAATATATGAACCGACTCGAACTTATCAAACAGTAAAATAACAAAAATAGATTATACCGAACTCCGAGGAAAATTCAAAACAAAAAGTCCATAATCAAATGGCAATATCAAAAGCTCAAAACACATCAAACGAATCTTAGTACAGGCATTTTCTTATGTAGAAAATGGTGGATTAAGGTTCATCTTCCGGTTTGCTGGTGAAACAAATAAAAACACTAGTTTCTATCATGCAAAGTACATAAATGCAATCCGATAAATAGATTATGGGACAATCATAGAATACAAAATATAACCTCTGAATATCTTATAATGTTTTGCTAATAATAATGTTTATCGCTTTACTGATAATACAGGTTTAATAAAAGTTTAAATTCCGTATTTATTCTCGAGTCCCCCATTTTTCTCTCCATATTCTGAACCTTGACTGCGTCTATGACGTTTTTGGTTTGTGACATCACTTGCCTGCGTCACTTTTAGAATTTTATAACGTTTGATTGGGAAGCTTGCTTAACCTTTTTTGCGTGGGAAACACAATTAAGATCAATTAATACACTCAAAAGTATATGATAGATATAAGAAGATGTGGTATGAGTGCCAATGAGACAACTCTCCATGCAAGTCACAATTTTTAAAAGTAAACCATTATAGGTCAAAGTACGGTCTTCAACACGGAACCTTGGCTCACACCGCACAACAAGTTACAAAGGGCCCCAAAAATTACTAGTGTAAAACCATTCAAAGGGGAAAACCAACGGTCTAATCTATATAAAAACGAGAAATGAGAAACACATCAACAAACGACAACAACTGGACATCAGATTCCTGAATTAGGACAGGTGCAAACAATTGCAGTGGGTTTAAACGTGTTAATGGTACCAAACCTTCACCCTTATCTGAAACAATAGTGTAACATCACAACATAGAAAGACACACTATAAAATATCAATTGAAATAGCTTAACTCAATCAAAAGACATATTAACACAAGTGAACATACACTGAACGAAAAAATTTGATCTATGATACAATGTAAAAACAAAATCAATAAAATAAGGGATGAATAATTAAAGTAAAAGTATTATACCGCTGTGAAATGTTAAATAATTTCAGAAAATCAACAATAACTCTATATATTGTGAATAGTTAAAATGAAATAATCTGGCAACAGCACGCGATTTATGCGAGAAATATTTTACTAGTAATTGGTTGTAATTTGGAGGAATGAGGATTTAAGGATTTTTTTTATCGTTTTCACTTATTTTACGTGAATACAATACAAATGTGCATCTATTATAAGAATTTTCGTTCAATCGTATCCAAGGATATAAAACAATTAATTTAAAGACGCTTACAAAAATCTGTGATATCGATTATTTACTGGTCCTTAACCTGCAAAAGATATCAAAGGGACATTCAAACTCATTAGTAAAAAAAAAAACTGAAACTCGAACCTCCACCTAAAATGTTGATTTATGTTTACACAGTTTGGCTGCTGAATCCCAATTATTGTCACTTTAACCAATGTCAGTTTGGGTTGCCCTACCCAATTTTGTCAATACACAAACACATCAAACGAATTGATAACAACTGTCATATTCCTGACTTGGTACAGGCATTTTCTTATGTAGAAAATGGTGGATTAAGGTTCATCTTCCGTATTTTTGAGAATACCTTTTTATTAAAAAATAATTGTCGTACAAGCGAGTGGTTTCGCTAGCTATAAAACCAGGTTTAACCCACCATTTTCTTCAGGAAATTCCTGTACCAAGTCAGGAAATTCCTGTACCAAGTCAGGAATAAACAGTTATTTTCCATTCGACGTTCCGTTTGTTGACATAGTCAATCGTATGATTTTGTCATGTTTTGGACTTCCCTTTTTTGAATTTTGAATTTACCTCGGAGTTCCGTTTTTTTTCTGTGAATACCTTTTCATGATATTTTGAACATAGAAAATATGATATTGATAAACAGGAAAAAGAATATTCATTCATAGAAATTTTGCCAAGATTCCCATACATACCATGCAAACAATTACAAAAACAAAGGAAAATAGCGAATGGTTTTATATTGATAATGTTTTTTTAAGACAAACATATAAAGCGGTACATAATATAAGCAAACCTTTGTGTTTGGTGAAAAACAAACTCCAATTATCTGTAGTGAACATATTTGTCGACAATATCAATGAATTGTCCGTGTGTAACATGCACTGCTTGTCGTTATACAGAAATCTGCTACAAAGTCCGAAATCTGCAGCGCAAACCCAAGCACACTGTATTACACTATCAACAGACACATTTCTATATATACTGTTACCATAAGGACAAAGGACCCTGGATTTTCTGTATTCTGTATCAAAAGTCAGAACGTATGGAATAATCAAATAGAATAGTAACCACATCTTATATGATACTCTTTGGCTAAACCTATTGAGATATAGTAGTCGTAGCATCAGTTTATAGTTTATAAAGAACTTAAAATATATTTCAAATCTCACGTTGTTTGTCGAATCTGACCTTTGGCTAGACATTGTATCCAACCGTATCTTATCTATTTGCTGAATCCCATTGAAACGTAGATTAATTTGAAATTGAAACTATATCAATTTAGTAGAAAACAGCAGAAAAGTTTTTTTAATCTTCAAATGCGATATTTCTTCAAAGGGTGCACTAAATGATCAGTCAATATCTGTATTATCAAGTAGATATATCCTGTGATAAACAATAATGTAAAAAAATAATTTCACAAATGTACCCTTTTTCCCATGAGATAAATAAAGATGAATGTCTTTCAAATTTATTTTGCAGTTTGATTATAAACCTTACATTATACATCAATTTCTAATTTATTGTTGTTATCATTTGGCAATAATATCAAAAATGGGTAGAATTAAGAAACAATCATTATTAGTTTTGGGGTTTATTATTTTATAAAGCCTTTTAGCGTCTAAACAAATATGCGAACGTGTTTCAAAATGACAGATATATTAATTTAAAATACCACAAAAGACTACTTTGCCGCAACTAGATTTGTTCTCCGCCACTTTGTAATTGCACAAAAGAAGTAAAATAACAAAAATACTGAACTCCGAGGAAAATTCTAAACGGAAAGTCCCCAAGCAAATGGCAAAATCAAAAGCTCAAACACATCAAACGAATGGATAACAACTGTCATACTACTGACTTGGTACAGAGCACATTAGAAAAACGAAAGACAAGAATACAAAGTTATAGTCTCAAGAGTAGCCTACAAAACATTGTTAGATGGTAATATAGCGAAGAAATATGAATATATTTCAGCTATAAAACTGAATGATGTTTATAGTGATGCTCCACCAGCTCCTTCTCTCCTTCTTATGTCGTATTCATTTCTTAGTTGGTTTGTACCCGCGTGTTTGCAGTGACGTCTCAGATTTCAATGAAAGCA